TATATATCCACTCTTTAACTCTGCAACAAGCACAACGTCTAGCTTCTGTCATTGAGCTAAAATGGAAGCAGGAAAAGCAAAGATGGTGCATTTAGAATTTCAAGATTTGCTACCCATTATGGCCAGAAAACTAGGAGGAGATGGACTGATCAACGAGCTATGCAAAGGGTACAGAATTTTAATGGATGGTGACAAGGGAGTGATCACACTTGATAGCCTAAAGAAGAACTCCGTGCTACTGGGGTTGCAAGATTTCAGTGAAGAGGAGTTAAAGAATATGATTAGGGAAGGAGATATGGATGGTGATGGAGCTCTTGATCAGATTGAATTTTGTATTTTGATGTTTAGATTAAGTCCTGACTTGTTCGATGTGGCTCAAGAATTGTTACATAAAGCTCCTGAAAAGCATAAGTGATGTTGCAGTCTGTATCCTCTTTTTTTCTTATTTACTGATCTTGATATGCTGATTCACATGTAATGCTTCACTTGATTTTAAAATGTTACAATTCGACTCCAAATTTCGAATAATGTGAAGCTATTGCATATTTACACGAAAAATTTAACCTGTGTTAGATTTTGTAGGAACTGTTTATAAAAAAAAAATTAACAAGAACTCACATCAGGTGTAGTATTTTGCTACTGTTAAAAAAAACAGATTAAACAAGAACTCACCCGTCTATTATTTCTCAGCCTAGTTTTGGTGCGGTTTCTACTGCAATTTCTAGAGTTTTTGGTTAAAAAAAAATTTCCCCCTCATACTTCACATAAAAGCTAGATGATTGCCAAAATTTGTTACTCCCTCCGGTCTATCATAAATGACCATTGTACTTTTTTATTTTGGTCAATTATTTACATAATCAAGAAGGAATTAATTTTATTTTTCCAAAATTTGCCCTTATTTACATATTCTAATGTGTCAAGGTAATAATTAATTAAGTGAATGCATCTTTTCTTCTAGGAGTTCATATTTCCTTAACGGGTGTGCCAAATGTAAAATGCGCACTTATTATGGACCGGAGGGAGAAATATTTAATTGGAACCAAAAGTGATCACTTTTATCAAATTTTGATGACCATTTGGAAACTACGCAAAGATAAGGGGCCATTTTGTCATATTCTCTTCTGAATGGCTAGCTCCCTTTTTCCTTCTTTCAAAGTGGGCAAATCGATAGTGGTTCTTCTTCTCCCTTTGCTCTCCCCTTTCTCGAAATCATACAGTTGCTATTTCGATTAGAAGTGACTAAAACTTATTTCTTATAAGATTGGACAATAGAATCCTCAGATTAAGCTTACTCTTTCTCAGGTAGTCCCTTTGTCTTTCTAGCCTTTTAGTAGTATTTTGGTAGGTAACATTGTAACAAGGTGCTTGGTACTATGTTATTACAAACTTTGATTCTCAGATTGATTAAGCACTAATTGCTGTTGTTTCTTGCCATTGGTGTCTTTATGAAGTTATATACATAATTAAAGTACCCTCGAGAGTATTAGATATGGAAGAATAGTCTGATGACTTGTGCACACCACATGTTTGATTCTTTGCTCGTTAGACTTTCAACCGCTAGTGCTTAAAAAATATAGCTTTTAACTGTAGCCAAAGGCACGTATGTGTGTGTGTGTGTGTATAATATGTAGGAGTATATGTACATGTGCATGTATAAGTATATGTATATCACTGATTCTGGGTATTAGATGTTTTTAAAGGTTCGGTCCGCCCTGCTCCCCAGACCCCATTTATAGGATTACACTGGGTTTGTGGTTATTGTTGTTGTTGGTCCTCCCTGCTCCCCGCCAGTAGTTCCTTTTCTGTTTATAGCATTTTGATGATCATGCTCTTAATTTCTTCTATTAAGAAAGATATTGACACTTCAAAAGAGTTAGTACTATGCTCAACATCAATACTATGGCTTCTACACCATGTTTTACTAGCTTCTCCGAAGTAGATATAGCACATAAGTTGCCAATATTAACTTTGAATGTAATTCTAGTCTACTTTCTTCTTTTTCTATTTATCTTTTAACTTTTAGTTAATATGTGCACAAGACTATGTTGTGGATGTTCGAGTGTTTAGTCTTATATGTTTTCAATCTTGTGTTGTGTACACTAAAAGAGTTGATAAATTTGTGTTCTTAATTTTAATTGGTGTTATCAACAGGTTTCTTATTTTAGGAGTTACCCCTCGTAGAGTTTTTAATCCTCCCAGCAGAGTATTTAAGCGAGAGAAAATGGTCATCCATTCTGCATTGAGTTTCAACTTTTGTGCAATCTCATCACTCTCTGTTCCTAAAGCATGGCAACAGGGTAGTTCTTGCTCTTTTGCTAACTACCTATTACCGTCTCCTTTGAAACGTCTGACTTGCTTTGTCACTTCAAGAAAGTCCGAAGAGGAACATGTGCCTGATCCTAAGCATAACTCTGGTTCAAGGCCTAGGAAAGCTACAAGGTCCAGCGAAAGCAAAGTTTCTCTTAATGAAGACAAAGATCCCGTCAAGATCTTCCCTGCAACAATCCCTAAAAAGCCAAGACGTGGCCGCAGGAGCGAAGCAGCTGCAGTTGAGGATTTTGTTCGTGATTCACTAGAAAAGACATTTGCTTCTATCCGGGAGCAGAACTCTGAAATAATGGAAGATACCGAGAATATCCTCAAAGATAGGGTTGATGATGACACTGATTCTGATCAAAGTAGTGAAGATGAAGATGACAGCCGCAGGGATATGAAAGAAAAGAAAATGATCGTTGAGGAGGAGGATCCAGATTGGCCTCTAGATGCAGATGTTGGATGGGGAATTAGAGCATCAGAGTATTTTGACAAGCATCCAATAAAAAATGTAGTAGGTGAAGATGGAGTTGAGATCGATTGGGAGGGGGAGATTGATGATTGTTGGGTGAAGGAAATCAATTGCCTAGAGTGGGAGAGCTTTGCTTTTCATCCCAGCCCCCTCATTGTTCTTGTTTTCGAGAGATACAATCGGCAAGTGAATCTTGTTTTATTTACTAGTTGTAGTTCTTAGAGATGCAATAGGCAATATGCAAATCTTCTGTTCTCTGAAACATTTTCATAGTGACACAGGGCTAGTGACAATTGGAAAGCTCTTAAGGAGCTAGAGAAAGCAGCCAAGGTGTACTGGAGTAACAAAGAGCGGTTGCCTCCTCGGGTTTGTGAAACATAATCACTTGTCCTTACATTGTCCAATAGTGAACACTCTTAACTTCCCCTCCCCTTAATTATTTGGTGTAGACTGTGAAGATTGACATAAATATTGAGAGGGATCTAGCCTATGCTCTTAAAGTTAAAGAATGTCCGCAAATATTGTTTTTACGAGGAAATAGGATACTGTACAGAGAAAAAGGTACTTCTCACATATTCTCTCTTTACTTTGATACAGAAATTGTAATCTCTTCAGCTAATACTTCATCATATATCATTGTCCCGTCGGATGGTTGTTTACTTGGCAACTTTGAATAAATCTATGCAGACATTCGAACAGCTGAAGACTTGGTTCAAATGATAGCATACTTTTACTACAATGCAAAAAAACCTTCATGCATTAAAGATGAAGCTTTATCTCCACGGTCTTAGTCAACAGAGGTACTGATGCTGACTTGCTTAGACTTTCATTAGAAGCTCATAGATCATTGCTTTACAAAAGATTTAAACTTCTATGTTCAGCTCAGATTAAGTTGGCAGAAGGATAGTCTAAGAGGCAATGGAGCATGGATCCCCGTGTAACTTGGACCAATTGGTCGTGTTGTTCATCTGAAAATCTGAGTCCACAATTGCAGACAGAACCTTGGAGGATGACTGGTCGAAACGTCATGATTGGTATTATCTGCCTGATGCCTCCAGCTGCTGATGTAACTTGCAAGTGGAAGGTTGAAGAAAAAGGTTATATTCTATCCAGAGCTTAAAGTAGCCTATGCTCCATACAATATAGAAGAGGATAGTTGGAAAGAGAAGTCTCAGTTGCCATGATCTTACTTTAGTTTTATTTGCTAGTTTACATGTCATACTAGTTTAAGATGTCTATAAAATACTTTATATGAATTACAAAATTTCATGTCATCTTCTGCTACTTATATCTACTCTTTCTTAACCCTGCTAGCTACAAGTAAATTAGGTTATGGAACCCTTCCATTAATAGTAACCCAGAGAAATATGAATGGATAGTATATATTGGTACCTTGCTTTATTCCATCGTAAGATAGAAAGTGCAGATCAGATAAAGAAGACAGTATGTTCCTTGGGTGGGTTAACTATGTCTGCTTTTATCTGTTAGGTTAGAAGAAATACTGAAGGGCTTTCTTTTTAAAAGTTTGGGTTATCACATTATCAGGAATATGCCTTGATTAAGAAATGTTATATCACTCAACATCAAACCTAACTAGGAGCATTTGTAGATAATACAGTTAACAATACCTGAACACTGAATAGACACAACAAACAAACAAACTTTCACCTAAATAACCACTTGAACTTTTTTATTACTTTCTTAGGAGTGAGGTAACCAGAATCAAAGTAGTGTAAAATATTGGATGTCAGCGCCTCACAGGTGAATATGATTTTATAAAGAGAGGATTTGAGTTCCAAAAGTGTAATGCGATTCTTGCACCCAAAGTGTAGTCTACCGGTCAATATAAAGTGAGTGAAAATTATGTGATATTAAGGTTTAAATCCTAATAGAAACAAAAGCACGTTAATTGATTTCTTTTCATCTACATCACTCTTGATGGGCGAAGTCTTTTGACAGGGAAGTTACTCGATATTTGTGTTGATTGAAGGTAACAAGTACTTAATTTGTGTTGATTGAAGGTAACAGATACTTAATGAGATAATGCCAAGCTAGCAAAGAGCATATTATATGACGGACAAAGAAGACAATGCAATTGAACAATAATTTTTTAACATTTATCAATTTGGGATCATAGGAATATACTGCACAACGATCCAGGGTTTGGCAACTATGAGAGGTTGTCACGTAGGTTTAATTTCGTCATAACAGAACAATTACAATTTATAAGGGCCCCATTTTCCTACCTATGTCATTTTCAATTTTCTTCCAACATCCATTCTTGTCCTTTTTCTTTTATGATGCCATAGCCATCGTAAAAGGTGTCCATTACCCTTTTTATATATTTGGAAAATACGCCTACAAAGTCGCATCAACATAATCAAGTCAGAAAGAAATTAGTCTCTATTTAGAAATTCAATTGACCATTACTGCTCTAATAAAAGCATTTTTTAGATAAGCAAGAAGTATATTAGTAAAAGATATCGATGTACCATATGCGCATAATTCCAACATCAGTTTCCTAACTTGATAAAGACTACGTCTAGAAACATAACATGAGCTACTATTTGCAATTATGTTAACCATCAATAAAAAGGAGATAATATTTCCCTCAATTAAATCATCATAACTTTTTAGTCACGACTAAGTCACATTTCTATTTTCATTTTTTTTTTCTAACAATGTTCAATAAAACAGGCCTCATATGGCTTTTGCATGTACAATATGTATATTTCTCCTTTTAAGCAACAAAAAAAGAAGAAGGAAATATTCAACTTAATTAGACATCTTGATCTAACTAGTTTGAGTAATTAAAATGCAAGCAGCTTTCTGAAACGTATGACCACCAGGAAGAGAAAAAAAAAACTTTCTTAAACCGGTGTAAACCATTGTCGAATGACCATGAATTGTATGGCCGATTTAATGGAATAATCTACCCAAGCTCAAGATCACAAACAGTGAAGTAGTCACTACCAAGACATCTGATGTATGCTACCTAGAGATGTTCAAACCAAATTGAAAATTTGTATCAAACCGAAAAATCAAAATAAATAGATTTAAGAAAATTAAGTTTGGTTTGATTCGGTATTAAGTAAAAAAAAAAACTTTTATATATATATATTTCTACAACTCTATAAAAAATTTATTTGAAAAAATGAATAAATATTTTGTGATCCTCTCAGGATCTGTTGAGTTTCAAGTATTTAATATAACTATAAATTTTTTATTTATTTTAAATAATGTCTGATCCTAACGTGTATCCTCACTTTCTACCAATTTGTTATTGAAATGCATTAATCTCTTTATTTTCCGTTCATATGTTAAGATCTATTAAACTCTTATAACTTATTTCAATTTGAAATGGTGTTTTACCGGTATTTTAAAATTAAATAAAGAATATCAATACTTAAGTTTTAAATTGACTCCTGTGTGTAATTATTAAAATTTGATTAAGTTTAAAAGTGTACATTCGTAAATATTAATGTTAGACTAACAAAGTAAGTATCACAGTGTTACAAAAAAAATTCCACAAGAATATTTTAATAGATCATATATTTGTCAATATATTAAAATTCTATTGACTTATCACATCTTTATTTATAACTCTAACAAAGTAAAATTAAAATAATATTCATGTGACAAAAAATATCATAAAAATAATATTGTATATGTGAATTTATTATTTCGAGTCAGTTGACATAATTTAGGTGTAATCTTATTAAATATGATAACATTTTTTAATAGACATTTATACATAATTCGAGTAAAAATAATGAATTCATCTTAACCCACATAATTTCCTTTATAGCTTGCTTGGCAAAGTTGAAAAAATCTGCTTATTTTGAAAAGTGCTTTTCGAAAAAGTACTTTTGCAGAAAAGTTATTTATTTTTGGCTAATCAATCTGAAAAACACTTTTGAGCGATAATTCAATTTGTATTTGACCAAGCTTTTCAAAAAGTATTTTTAAGTATCAAATTACGAATAAGAACATAAAAAGATTTACTTAATAGTTAATATTATATGAATAAATAAATAATCTCAAATATTTATTATTAAAGATAATAATTACATTTTTTTCATTTTATTTAAGTAAAACATGAAAGTAAAATTTAAAAGTACTTTAATTCTTTCAAGATGATTTAAATATATCAAAAAATTATTTAACAAATATAAAAGCATTCATCTCAAAAGTCACCATATTAGAAAGTTATCCAATATATATATATATATATATATATATATATATAATCTCTAATTTTAAGTATTATATAGTTTTAAAATAAATAAGGTTATTTTGATATATATCATATTTTACAACAACAACAACAACTGTCCAGTGAAATCCCACAAAGTGGAGTTTGGGGAGAATAATGTGTACGCAGACCTTACCCCTACCCCGATAGGGCAGAGAGGCTGTTTCCGATAGACCCTCGGCTCAGAAGATATATATCATATTTTACAACAACAACAACAACTGTCCAGTGAGATCCCACAAAGTGGAGTTTGGGGAGAATAATGTGTACGCAGACCTTACCCCTACCCCGATAGGGCAGAGAGGCTGTTTCCGATAGACCCTCGGCTCAGAAGATATATATCATATTTTACAACAACAACAACAACTGTCCAGTGAGATCCCACAAAGTGGAGTTTGGGGAGAATAATGTGTACGCAGACCTTACCCCTACCCCGATAGGGCAGAGAGGCTGTTTCCGATAGACCCTCGGCTCAGAAGATATATATCATATTTTGTTAAGGGTATTTTTGGTAAGAAGAAAAATCAAAAATGTTTTTGGGGAGAAAAATATTTTTTTTTTCCAAAAAAAAAGCTTGGCCAAACATCTCAAATTAAAAAAGAAAAAATTGAGAAAAAAAAAATAATACTTTTGAAATAGGGAGAAGATTGGCCAAATAAGCTATTAATCTGCCTTTGACCATCTTTGTCCATTAGCTGCACCGCCATGTTTAAGCCAGTCCCAACAACCTTCTGGAGAAATTGTCAAAAGAAGAAAAACGTGAGATAATGTTGGGGTCTGGGACTTGACCAAATTATGATTTACAGGTGATTTTTGCTTATAAGCATGTTGGGTATTTATTAAATACTTAAATAAGTTAAAATATACTCATAAGCTATTTTGATCCGTTTATATATTTAGCCAAACACTCTCAATATCAATTTAATTTTACTTATCAATTTCATAGAATTTTCTTATACCAATTAATAGCTTTTAATGTCCAAAAGTTAAAAGTATATTATCATAAATTCCTGTGTACTGTTACACCAAAAATTCGTCCAAAGAATTTTGTCTTAAATTCGGAAGGATTAAAAGTATTTTTCTCGCCGCAGGATCACGAAATTCACGTGGTCAAGAAACATCAACTATTATTGACGTGTTTTTGTGACATTGGACTTCAATAATAGTACGTTTTTTTCCTTCTTTTTTATTTTGCATATACTTTATGTTAGTTGACTTATAACAGTTCCACCACTAGGGTAAATCAGTAAATGCATATGGTTTTCATAACGGTTAGACTTTCTCGTGACGACAGACAGCGATATTTTTAATTAGGGGACCGTTAAGGTACCCTACTATATTTTACTTCCAAAAGTACCCCTTTTAATTAAACTGTGCTTTTCGTATTGTTAATTATTGGAAAAGATTTAAGAAAATTGAGTTAAGGATAAGATTCAATTTTCCTTTTTTTAGGGGCAAAGTGACCGACAAATGCTTTTGAACCATTTAGCTGATTATTCCAAACGGCAAAATCACACTTCTCTGTCATTCTCCAGCAACTTATATGATATGATTTCCTAATTACATTTCACACCTTCCCATATAAAGTTTTTGCGTTTGACTAAAATATTTACTTAGTCATATTAGTTATCTTGTCATATCTGGTTGGCCAAACTTCCAAAATCAGATTATTTTAAAAAATATTTTTTTCAAAAGTATTTCTAAAAAAAAGTACTTTTGATAATAAACGGAGAAACAATTTGTGTTTAAATAATTAATTTAAAAAATATTTTTAAATAGTAATTAATGTTTGACAAAACTTTTAATAACTGTTTCTAAGTGTATTTTTCTCAAAAGCTCTACTCAAAAAAGTATTTTTGGAGAGAAACTACTTTTTCAGCTTCTCAAAAACTGTTGCTTCTACTTAAAAATATTTTTTTCCCTTCTAAAGCTTGGCTAAACACTTCAAATTTTGAAAAAAAAATATTTTTAGCCAAAAAAATACACTTTTAGCCCAAAAAAGCTTGGCCAAACATGCTATAAGAAAGTACGAC